ATATATATATCTATATATATAGATATATATATCTATATATATATATTTCTTTTTACAAACAAAACATTTTTATCAACAATTCCCTTATATAACATTGAGTACTTAGACATTTGTCTTTCTTAACTCTTATCTTTTTCTGGACTAATTCTAAGCATTTTGCAGATTTACCTACTCTGGCGTATATTTGTTAGGACAGTGTTTCTTGGATTATATGAAAAATGGTTTTACCTTTGTTTTTTTCATGTTCATGTTAATAAAATGCATTGTTTATAACAACTGTCCTTTTAAATAGTGAGGATTCATCCTTTTTTTTAACTGAAGGATTAATTAAGAACAGTGACCTGTGATGATTACTGTATGGTGATGTGTTACTAACCCTGGCAGGTAGAGAGGCTTGTTGTTGTCCACTTGTTCCAGATACTCCCTGGAACCCCAAGCTTTGTCATTAGCAGTGTTCAGAGGAACCTCAGCATCACCAGTCACATTGTTCACCTTAAGTTTAAAGTTATACATTAATTAGTATTTGGCAAACAACCGAACACAGTTACATTTCAATAACTAACCTCTGCTTAATACATTTTTTAAGATGTTTTCTTGTTTTGGGATAAAATACCTCGTAGTTTCTATGCAGCCATTCAAGTTTCTAAGTATTTATATTTTAAGTACCCATTTGTGTATTAATTGCAAACAATGAATATGAATGAAGTGTTTAGTAGAAATGTATAGTTCTGAAAGATCTCTTTTGGTACTATCATCCTGTCAAATCTAATCAACTGAACATTTTCATATCTTAATCATTTGATGAGAAAACTGACCACATTCAATCTGTTTACTCAGCATGACAATAATAATATTTAGTTATGACTCTTTTTAGGTGGAGTATGACTCCAGGAAAAGTGTACGTCTATGGTTTGTTACTTTACCTTCACTTTTAAAACACAAATTTTGAATGAAACACAAAATTACTGAGAGTGCAGTTTGTTCTTCTGATATTTTATTACAAAAATTGTCCTCTTTTCCTTTTGTATTTTTCCTCCGCTGCCCTCTTTTTCTGGATGCTGTCCAAAACATCTTGATTCCACCACCATCTTTTCTTGTCATCTTGACCTGACCTCACACCTTCCAGTTTCCCTCACCCCTCAACTGTCACCACCCCGAACAAGCATCACACAACTTGACTCTAAATTCTATGCAACACTCCTGTTTTTTCCATTTTTCAGTAAGGTTTTAGTAGAAATAAATAATCCTTTGTCCCATATTTACCCTCGTTTTAAATGACAGAAACCAGTTCTCACTAAAAGATCAACACTGGTTTTATAAACACACAAGGATGAACCAGTTCCTCTGCGTTTCCCTGAGTACAACTGATACCATCATTACCGTAAACAGGAAGACTGAAAAGATTTCCTGCAATGGAATAAAAACTATGCTTTTTTGGGGTCAATACTTTCATTTTCCTGAAAGGTAAAGCAAACAATGACAAATCAGGAAATGTAGGAACACTGATTTTAATGAGATGTTTCTTTAAATGCACTCATTAGTTGAGTGGTTTTATTTTTAGATATTCGGTGAATTGTCATTCCAAGTACAAATCCTTCTGACCACATTCTGAGACTGAGACTAAAGTTGCCCACACCCAGAAACTGTAAATGAAACAGTCCTGCCCTTCCTTTCCCACGTCTCACCCGACAAAAACACACTTTAAACATCTCTGTGAGGACAACACACCTGCTTTATAAGCACCTTTAATGCAATGTCAACCATCCGAACAAAATCCCTGATTCCCAGCTAACCATAACATATGACAGTGGATTTTGCAGAGCATTGACTAAACAGTTAGGATCCTTTAGTGCTCACAATATGTGCTTTTGTCATGTAGGACAAAGTTGTTCATTATAGGGTCCATACTGAACAGTGAAGGCAGGGTTGAACACAGTCATATTAAACATTACTATTGTAGCAGCTGAAGACTGATCTCTCTTTCATAAACCTAACATGTGACCCACCATAATTCAAGTTTAAGAATGAAATTAAAATAAAGGGGATACATTTGCTTGTGTAATGTATTTGTTATTTTTTTACCGAAATAAACAAATCTGCAATTGTTAAAAAAATTCTGTGAGTCCCTCAGCCATGTTTTCCACCACAGAGTACCAGGAACTGTTGGTACCATGAAATTCTGTGAAGAAACTACACAGCTGTTGCAATACAAACATTGCTTGTTTTCACCACTGAAGATCTGTGAAGATTTTACTGATGTGGGGAAAAAAACACAGATTCCCAGCATCTTCAGGTCTGTCTGTATGTCCTCTGCACCAGAAATGGGCAAAAGTACTTGGAACATTTTTTGACCATTGTTTGTTAAGTTTGCTTTCCCAAGATGATAGATGTATTAAATTTTCCAAGATGAAAATCATTGCAAGGACAAACAGTGCGTACAAAAATGCGAAGGACCGCACAAGGGTTAATGTGGTGGAAATGCACATACACTATATTGCCAAAAGTATTCACTCACCCATCCAAAAAAATCGGAATCAGGTGTTCCAGTCACTTACAAGGCCACAGGTGTATAAAATCAAGCACCTTGGCATGCAGACTGTTTTAACAAACATTTGTGAAAGAATGGATTGCTCTCAGGAGCTCAGTGAATTCCAGCGTGGAACTGTGATAGGATGCCACCTGTGCAACAAATCCAGTCGTGAAATTAAATCCACAGTCAACTGCCAGCTGTATTATCAGAACATGGAAGTGTTTGGGAACGACAGCAACTCAGCCACGAAGTGGTAGAGCATGTAAACTGATTGTTTGGTGGAGGGAGAGTTATGGTGTGGGGTTGTTTTTCAGGAGCTGGGCTTGGCCCCTAAGTTCCAGTGAATGGAACTCTGAATGCTTCAGCATACCAAAACATTTTGGACAATTCCATGCTCTCAACTTTGTGGGAACTGGCCCCTTCCAACATGACTGTGCACCAGTACACAAAGCAAGGTCCATAAAGACATGGATGACAGTCTGGTGTGAATGAACTTGACTGGCCTGCACTCCTGACCTCAACCCGATAGAACACCTTTGGGATCAATTAGAGCGGAAACTTAGTGCTAGGCCTTCTTGTCCAACATCAGTCTGTGACCTCACAAATGCGCTTCTGGAAGAATGGTCAAAAATTCCCATAAACACACTCCTAAACTGTTATAGCTGCAAAGGGTGGACCGATGTCATATTTATCTGGAAAGGAATATATGTGACAAACATAGGAAGCAGACTTGGGTCTGGAAGGTTCCAGTTTCGAGTCCACCAGCGGCCAAGTTACCACTGAGGTGCTCTGAGCATGGCACCGTCCCCACACACTGCGCTTAAAAGCTGCCCACTGTTCACTTTGGTGATGGGTTAAAAGCAGAGGTCATATTTCATTGTGTGCAGTGGTTTGCTGTGTCACAATGACAATGAGTTCACTTTCCTTCCTTTCCTTCTATGCCTTCTATGCCTTATATTCCTTATATGCGAGTCATGGCAGGTGAGCGAATACATTTGGTCATATTGTGTATGTGCTGGTACTGTTCCTAGTTTTTGGTACCAGTGACAATCATGTTTATTCCTGAAAGAAAGTGAAAATACAAAAAATAATAAAAACAAAAAATTATAAATGCTAACGTGAGGTTCTTCAGAAAAACAAATCCATACCCAATCGTTCTTGTGTAGGTCAAATTAATTGAAAAGCGTTTATTATCATCACCCACACACCTCATGCAGCAAATGAAGGTGAACGAAAGTGAACTACTTGTCATTGTGACACAGCACACCACTGCACACAGCATGAAAAATATGCTAAAATATTTACGTACCCATTCTCCGACACTGTTGTTCAGACCATCTGTGACCACTTTCACTTCTTCCCACAGAATTCGCTCCTTGCCCCAGTGACGTATCTTGGATCGAGTCTTGACAGCAAACACGAGCAAGATGATGAGACCAATGAAAACCAGAAAGCCAAGGACAATGGCTATAGCCTGCAGGCACATGCAATTAATGTTAAAGATGTAGGGATAATGAATCAGACTTTTATTTTTGAGAGATTTTAAGAATGTGATTTTATTGTTTTAATACTTGCTATATTTATTAAATAAAATGAATAAAGTAGAAAAAATTGTAATTAGTAAGTATAAGTAAATAAAAATAACATTTTTAAATTGTGGCAAAATATAGGTACATTTTACTTAGGGACAATGGTAGTTAAATATGAATTAAAGATGACTATAAAAAGGTAAATATTTTTCAGAAAAACAGCTTAAACATTTACCCAAAATACTACAGCACTGGCTGTATATTAAAATACTTTAATATGTCGTTAAAAAGAGATTAAACATAATCTGTGAAATTTCTTCCTCTGTATGACAATTAGACAATTGGAGCAGTAAAGCCATGTTGTATTAAATTAAGATAAAATAATTATTTATTTTGTTTACATCATATTGAAGTTCCATCCATCCATCCATTTTCATCCGCTTATCTGTTACCAGGCCGCGGGGTCAGCAGTTGCCACCCAAATCACATTGCACCGTACCCAAACCTTCCTGCAGGTGGTGAGTCCACTGGAAGGTACCAACCGCCCTAACCGGGATTCGAACTTGTCCAGGAGGTGAACCCTGGGGTTCCACACCAATGACAGAGACATTGCCTCTGGGCCAAAGCGCCACCATATTGAAGTTATTTGTAATTTGTTTAAAAAACATAATCAATGGTAATTTTATTTAATTTAGACAATTTCTGTGCACATCAATTTTATAGTGCAAGATTTGTTTTTCCATAAGTTGTTATGTTAAAGATACATATCAAGCGTTTTAACTGTAAATAGAGCAAATTTCTGTTTGTTTTTGTGGGTGTTCAAAGAGAACAGGAGAACAATGGGTTAATTTAGAACAATGAAAATGTTAGACACCACTAAAAGATTATCTGACCTCCTGTGGCTCAACCACACAGTAGTGGTACAGATACTGGTTGATGAAGATGCCTTGGGCCTGCGTCTGTGTCTGGTACTGGGCACACAGTTGGCGGATCTGGCTGTAGTAAACTGAACCTGTGGATTGAGCTGTTGGATTCACTGACACCAGATACACAATGGTGGTGATGATCATGAGAAATGCCAAGATGGCACAGATGATGGTGGTTGCCAGATAAAACTTTGATGATCGAGCAGCATTTTGTCTTGACACTACCAACACAAAAATGATGAGGACGGCAATAAATGTGATGCCAGAAATGGCAATAATGAAGACTTTGCCTGCTTTGGGATCCATCTGTGTTTCTCCGTACCCATAGGAGCCACCTCCATATGCACCACCATAACCTGAATCATACCCAGAGCCATAGCCTGTGCCATAGCCCCCACCATAACCACTTCCATAGCCACTGCCATATGTTCCACCGTACGTGCCACCGAATCCTAGCAGTCCAACACCACCTCCCATCCCCATCAGGCTCATGTCATAATCCCAGGCCAATGTGGAGGCTACACAGGCAAACACAGCGACACACATGATGATGATGATGATGCATAGGATCTTCATCACGCCAGGAGGTGAGGACCAGCGGTGGAAGTGAAGCATCTTGTCTGAAGTATAGTAGGAGAAGACGGGGTTGGAGTGTCTGCTGCTGTGGCTGTGGGAGATGTTGACAAGATGCGGTTAACATGTGATAGTCAACATATGTAATGTCTACAGTTTCTCCCCTAAATCTGAGGAGAATATTCAAAAATTGGGCAAAAATCTGAGGGATTCTGGCAGGGTCATTATACCTTTACTAAGGGCAAAATCCAAAGAAACTGTTAAAGCAAGCAAATATTAGGATCATTGATCCTATGCTCTTTCTCTATATTGTTCTTCAATCTCAAGTGTTCTTTGAGTTAAATATAGTTTAATGGGAACATAATAAATCATACTTCAAACCATGTCCTTTAACTGCTTGTTTCCTTTTCTCTTTTACATAGTTATCGTGCTGGTGGCAATGACTAATGGAATGACTATCAACTGTGCTAATAGATGCCAACTCGAAACAAAAAGAGAAATCATGTCCTTAACCATTCTAAGGACATGGTTTAAGTCTACAGCTGTTATCTACATATCTGCATTGAGGTTTTATAAAAATGAAGTGTGGACTGAAGTTCAGGTATGAGAAGGGTGACAGTTGCAGTGAGTGACAAAACAGTCAGTCAACTTACTGTTTGCTACCACTGTGCTGGTAGGGTGTACTGCTGTGTTTTGTCCCCAGCATTGTGACTACAGCTACCAATCAACT